AGTGGCCGGATCTCAGCTCACTGCAAGCTCTGCCTCCCGGGTTTACGCCATTCTCCTGCTTCAGCCTCCCAAGTAGCTGGGACTACAGGTGCCCGCCACCTCGCCCGGCTAGTTTTTTTGTATTTTTTAGTAGAGATGGGGTTTCACCGTGTTCGCCAGGATGGTCTTGATCTCCTGACCTCGTGACCCGCCCATCTCGGCCTCCCAAAGTGCTGGGATTACAGGCTTGAGCCACCGCGCCCGGCCTAAAGTACTATATTTTTAAGGAAAAAAAAATTAGAACATGCCCCAGAGGAAAAAAGTGAAGCTATCCAGGTGTTGGTGTTGTGTTGATTGATAGGTTTCGGTGTTGTGTTGGAGAAGAGAGAGAAAATGTAACAACCTTTGAAGATTAAATAAAAAGGTTAAATAAGGCCGGGCGCGGTGGCTCAAGCCTGTAATCCCAGCACTTTGGGAGGCCGAGACGGGCGGATCACGAGGTCAGGAGATCGAGACCATCCTGGCTGACACGGTGAACCCCGTCTCTACTAAAAAATACAAAAAAACTAGCCGGGCGAGGTGGCGGGCGCCTGTAGTCCCAGCTACTCAGGAGGCTGAGGCAGGAGAATGGCATGAACCCGGGAGGCGGAGCTTGCAGTGAGCCAAGATCACACCACTGCACTCCAGCCTGGGCGGCAGAGCGAGACTCTGTCCAAAAAAAAAAAAAAAAAAAAAGGTTAAATAAAAAGACCCGGCATGGTGGCTCATGCCTATAATCCCAGGAGGGAGGCTGAGGAGAATTGCTTGAGGCCAGGAGTTTGAGGCTGCAGTGATCCAACATCATGCCACCACACTTCAGCCTGGACGACAGAGTGAGAAAGACCTTGTCTCTTAAAAAAAAAATATATATATATGTATATATATGTATATGTGTATATATGTATATATGTGTGTATATATATGGGAAAATCAGTTTAGTATCAGTTAAAATCCCTGGTTTGAGCAACCAGTAGAAGATTGTGCGATTCACCGAGCTGGGGAACCCAAGAAGAGCAGATTTCAGAGAGCTGATAAGGAGCTCATTTTTGGAGTGTGAAGTGCCTGTGGGAATTCCAGGTCAGGCAGGTGGCATCAGGGATTTGGAGCTCAGGAGAGGTCTGAGAGGGAGGGGGTCACCAGCAGATAGTCCTGGGCATGGATGAGCTTGCCCAGGAGTCGGTACAGATGCAGAGGAAAGAGGCCCTGGGACAGAACCCTGAGGAACTCCAGCATTTAAAGGAGGGCCAGAGGAAGGTGAAAATTCGTGGGAAGCTAGGAATGGCCGGAGAGAGGAGACAAACTAGGGTAGTAATATGGAAGCCAGTTAAAGAATATGTTTCAAGATGTAGTGGCAAACTATGTTGGATGGCTCCAGAGGTGTCAAACAGGATAAAGATGAGATGTGTGTCCATTGGGTTTGGAGGCAGGGAAATTCTTGGTGACCTTGAAGGTGGAAGCTACTTGGAGATAACCCTTTGAAGAAGATTGGCTGTGAAGAGGAGGTGGCTGGAGGCGGGTGTGTTGTGAGGTTTGAACAATGTAAAATGCTGTGAGAAAGAGGTAGGATGCAGATTTGAAAAAATGAGAAGGGATAATCAAGAGGGCATCCATGAGGGAGAAGGAGAGGAAGCTTTTGTATCAGTGGTTCATACTCAGAAATCTGGAAATGAGGGAGGAGGGCGGTGCAGGCTGAGGTGAGACAATGCAAAACCCTACTATGGGGCTGGGCACCGTGACTCACACCTGTAATCCCAGCCCTTTGGGAGGCCGAGGTGGGCAGATCACTTGAGCTCAGGAGTTCAAGACCAGCCTGGCCAACATGGTGAAACCCCAGCTCTACTACAACTACAAAAATTAGCTGGGCGTGGTGGCTTGCGCCTGTAATCCCACCTACTCAGGAGGCTGAGGCAGAAGAATTGCTTGAACCCAGGAGTTGGAGGTTGCAATGAGCCAAGATCGTCCCATTGCACTCCAGCCTAGGTGACAGAGTGAGACTCTGTCTCAACAACAACGAAAAAATCCTACTATGGGCTCGTGCCCAATGATCTTGTAAGAGAAGTTTATATTTTCCCCCATTGCCATGCCCTTTGCAGTGCCCTCTGTGGGAGCAATATACGTCCTCACCCCACTTCCCTAGTACTTGGCTGTGTGGTCTTGGTCAAGTGAGTATAAGCAGATATGCCATATGCCAGGTCTGAGCAGCAGCTTTAAGAGTGAGTGTGTGGTTTTCTCTGCCTTTTGTTCTTTTGCCCTGCCATTAAAACAATGTGTCCCAAATGAGGGCAGTTACTTCAGACTGGGTCTTGTAATAAAGGCACATGAATCAGAACTGTAGCCAACACCACTACCAATGTAAACCATGAAAGAGAAATAAACCTCTGTGGGATTCTGAAGGCATTTGTTGATAATGGCAAAACTGACTAATGCAGGCATTCAACTAAATTAAAACCCTGAGATACCATTTTTTAGTCCGCAGTTTCAAAAGTTTGATAGCATACTCTGTTGCTAAGGCTGAGGATGCAGGGACTTTCATACATTGGTACAACCTTTATGGATGTAGGCAATCCCTATAAAAATTAAAAACGCAGATGTCTGTGATAACAAAGACAATAATAAGTGTTGGCAAGGTTGTGGAGAAACTGGAACCCTTATACACTGCTGATGGGAGTGTAAAATGGTCCAGTCACCTTGGAAAACAGTTTGGCAGTTCCTCAAAGGGTTATATGTAGAGTTACCCTGTGACACAGCAATTCCAGCACTACTAGGTATACACTCAACAGAATTGAAAACATATGTTCACACAAAAACTTGTACACAGATGTTCACAGCAGCATTATTCATAATAGCCAAAAAGTGGAAACAACTCAAATGTCTATCAACTGATAAATGAATAGATAAAATGTGGTATATCCATATAATGAGATATTATTTGGCCATACAAAGAAATACTGGTACGTGCTGCAACTTGGATGAACCTTAAAGGCATTATGCTAAGCACAAGATGCCAGTCACAAAAGACCACATATTATATGACCCCTTTTATATGAAATGGCCAGACTAGACAAATCTATAGAAACAAAGTAGATTAGTAGTTGCCAGGGGTCGGGGAAGGGAATAATGGGAAATGACTGCTACTGAGGGTTTTTTTTGGGTGCTGAAAATGTTCTGGCATTAGACAGTGATGATGGTTGCAACAACTTTGTGAATATATGAAAAACCACATAATTGTCCACTTTATTTTTTAATATTTATTTATTTTTGAGACAGAGTCTCACTCTGTCACCCAGGCTGGAGTGCAGTGGTGCGATCTCAGCTCACTGCAGCCTCGTTGACTGAAACGTCGTTACGTGATGCATGATGTGTGCACCACACATCATGTGTGAGGTCTAGTGACTGTTGGCAGTGGATTATATTAGACCATCCCATTTTGAGGATGGTTGCTCCCTTTCCAGATTTTCTTGATCTTCTTGCCCTGTCATTTGGAGGGTCCCCCAGGCCTTGGTGTTTGCTCCCTCCTCCCATCCATCTCTCTGAATTCTCTCTCCTTTAGGGAATGGAGCCCATCACAAGGCTTCAGCTATACCCTGACTCTCAAACCTGCTTTCCATTCTAGCATCTCATCAGAACTGTGAGCCTGACCCCCTCCCATAGGATGTATGGAAAACAGTTTGCCATCTCTAGTCCCAGAAGACCTTTACTCAGATGAGTATTTCCAAGCAATACCACTTTATTTCTATCCAGTTTCCCCTTTCTGCATCCCTGTTTCTTTGAGGGGTGCCATTATTTTTCCAGTCTCCCAGGCTTGAAATCCCAGGATCATCTTTGAGTCTTCCTTCTCCTACAACGTAGCTCCCCTAAGTGTTGAATTCAGCACAATCCAGAGAATGAGCACGCCTGCAGATTGTTCTCTCTGTCATTTCCTACCATCATCACTCTTATTCAAGTGTGGATCGCCTCTTGCCTTATTTACTGCAAGAGCCTGTTAATTCTTCTGCATCCTACTGCTATAAATTGGTCTTCTGAGAGCATCCATTGTACTACATTATTCCTTGTCACACAATCTTTAAGTGACTTCCCATTTTCTGTAGGATAAAATGTCGATTCCTTGGCCTGCCTGGCACTCATGACTCCTCATGTGCTCACAAAACTCTGCCCACCCTGCCTTCACTCCCATGCTCCCGCCAGTCCTGTGTTGCCACTGACCTCAGGACAAGTCCTATTCATTTCCGCTGTAAGCTCATGGCTTTCCTCCTCTTACCCCGGAATGCTTCTCTTCCTTCCAGTCACCCACCCCATTTCTCCTGCCCTCTCTTAGGATCCATCTGCATTCCCACTGCAGGTCTTTCTCAGCCTTCAGCCTCCATCCATCTCCTTCTTTCCTGAATTCCGAGGAGACCTAGGGTCGGCATCCAGCCATGGCCTGGTCTGTAACTGTTTCACATGTGTCTGTGTCCTCCCAGTGGGGTGAGGAGGCGTTCTCAGTCCTCAGCACCATGTGGCGAACACAGTTGGTGCTCACTACAAACAGGACTCCCCGCCCGGAAGGCACAGGATCGCACTTGTTTAGCAAATGCTTCCTCAATATAACCCCTTTCCTTCCTGCTCTAGGAGAGGGCTTTAGAAAGCAGGGCAGTTCTGAAAAGACTCTGGGGGTTGGGATGCAAAAGAGGTTGGCCTCTGAGGCCTGCTTAAAGGATTTTATGTCGGCCTGCATGGTGGCTCACGCCTGTAATCCCAGCACTTTGGGAGGCTGAGGCGGGTAGATCACCTGAGGTCAGGAGTTCGAGACCAGCCTGACCAACATGGCTAACCCCTGTCTCTACTAAAAGTACTAAAATTAGTCGGGTGTGGTAGTGCACACCTGTAGTCCCAGGTACTTGGGAGGCTGAGGCAGGAGAATCTCTTGAACCTAGGAAGCAGAGGTTGCAGTGAGCCAGGACTGTGCCACTGCACTCCAGCCTGGGTAACAGAGTGAGACTCCATCTCAAAAAATAAAAAGGTGGGGGGATTTTACGTCCCTGCCTCTCAGGCGCCCTCTGCCTCAGTCTCCAGGGTCACCTGTGGCAGTTTCTCAGGCCCTTGTCTGCCCTCAAGACACCCCCATGCTGGGCCCTGGGATGCACAGTGCGGGTCCCCTCTTTTGCGCTGGCCCTCTGGTTCTCGCCACCGTGGGGTTAATGCAGCATGGGTTTTGCCTTTCATCTGATTTCCCATCTCCTTCTGTCAGCTAATGATTATTCAGGGAGCTTCACCTCACCCTGCTGTCCCTATCCCAAATCTGTCAAAGTTCTCTTTGGGGCAAAGGTCATGAGAATTATGGCCATGTGACTGCTGTTTTCACCCCACTCCCTCTGCCGTCTTGGTCCCACTGTTCTGAGGAGCTACCTTTGCACCCTGCCTCTGGCTCTCCTGAGCAGAGAGGTAAGCTTGTCTCTGCCTTAGGTGGAAATGGCCACTAGAGTCCACCTGCGCAGCACTGTCTGCCTTTTCTTTCCCTCCTGTTCCCACTGGCTTTCTCCCTGGGCACTCTCACTTGCCCTTGTCTGTGCACTGGAGGCTGAGACTGAGCTGCAGGACTTGGGCCTCAGGCCCGTTTGGAAGATGAGGCTCCTGCTGGGTAGGTCCAGGTAGGGTTCACAGGCTGAGTAGGGAATGACTCTGCTCTGCCACAGATCCTGATGGCTGACTCAGAAGCACTCCCCTCCCTTGCTGGGGACCCAGTGGCTGTGGAAGCTTTGCTCCGGGCCGTGTTTGGGGTTGTTGTGGATGAGGCCATTCAGAAAGGAACCAATGCCTCCCAGAAGGTGAGTCCTTTCCCCCTCCTCCTTCCCATCAAGCCAGCCTCCTTTCCTTCCTTCCTTCCTTCCTTCCTTCCTTCCTTCCTTCCTTCCTTCCTTCCTTCTTCCTTCCTGTCTTTTTTTTTTTCTCACTCTGTCGGCCAGGCTGGAGTGCAGTGGCACGATCTCGGGTCACTGCAACCTCCGTCTCCTGGGCTCAAGCAGTTCTCCTGCCTCAGCCTCCCGAGTAGCTGGGATTACAGGCATGTGCCACCACGCCCGGCTAATTTTTGTATTTTTAGTAGAGATGGGGTTTCACCATGTTAGCCAGGCTGGTCTTGAACTCCTGACCTCAGGTAATCTGCCTGCCTAGGCCTCCCAAAGTGCTGAGGTTACAGGCATAAGCCACCACGCCCGGCCCAAGCCTTCTCTTTTTCTTTCCAAATCTGGCTCAGAACTTTCCTCCTTTTGATAAGGTTTCTCCCCAGAATTCATCCCTGTCCCCCCGGGTACCTCAGGGATTTACATTCTGAGTCTTACTGTGTTCACTACTCTTGCTCATTTTCAGAGTTTTACTTTGGAAATATCCCAAAGTTGTTTTTAGTGCAGATTGGCCGTGTCTCGTGTCTGTGGAGGTGTGTTTTGACAGTCAGTCCACAGGCATCCCAGGCCCCCAGCAGCCCTGGCTCTCTTCCTAGGTCTGTGAGTGGAAGGAGCCTGAGGAGCTGAAGCAGCTGCTGGATTTGGAGCTGCGGAGCCAGGGCGAGTCCCAGGAGCAGATCCTGGAGCGGTGTCGGGCTGTGATTCGCTACAGTGTCAAGACTGGTGGGCACTGGCTTCTTTGGGAAGGAGACTTGGGAGTTTGCCCTGAACTCTACTCTGAGCTCCCTGGCGTACTCTCCTTCTCCAGGTCACCCTCGGTTCTTCAACCAGCTCTTCTCAGGGTTGGATCCCCATGCTCTGGCCGGGCGCATTATCACTGAGAGCCTCAACACCAGCCAGTGAGCATCCCACGGCCCCTCTACCATCCCACAAAGGATTTAGGTTTGCTGGAGAGGTGCCTGAGGGGTAGGGGAGGAGAATGGTTCTGCCCTCTCTCTACTGCTTCTAGGAATCCCTATCGGCAGAGAGTTTTTCCTTGTATCCTTTGGACCCCCTTTCTCCAAACTTTCTCAGGCCTCCTGACCTCTGTTTTCTCTTTCTTGCTTCCCTGGTTCTGTCACCAACTTGTTCTTCTCCTTGGACTCTTCCTTCGCTCACTGTTCATTGCCTCCTTTTTCTGACTCCTGTGCAGTTTAAGGGCCTGTCTGGGCAGTCCCTCCCCATCTTTCCTTTCTCGTCGCTCTCTCTCCTGGCAGGTACACATATGAAATCGCCCCCGTGTTTGTGCTCATGGAAGAGGAGGTGCTGAGGAAACTGCGGGCCCTGGTGGGCTGGAGCTCTGGGGATGGAATCTTCTGCCCTGGTTTGTGAGAATGAGGGGGACCTTTCTTTGCCCTTTTTATGGGTTCCTCCTTCTGCACCGTTCTCTTGCTCTAAGCATCTGGCAGGGAGGGATGATTCCTCTTTGATTCCTCTCCAGCTGGACCCAGGCCAGACCAGGGAGGAGGCTGTCTCGTCCCTTCATGCTCATGTTTGTCACCATTCCCTGGGATCACTGGTCTAGTTCCTGCTGTCTCTGGATGGGTGCTGTCTCTTGGGGGCAGCCCCAGGTGTGGAGGGGTGTGGTCAAGAGGATCTGATCCTGGATCCATTCTGAGATGGCATGATCCTGGGAATTGTGGCCTCGGAGCCAGTCATACCTGCTGCTTTGATGAGCTCTTCTGGTGGAAAGGGAAGGGGAGGCAAGCTCCAGTCTTGACCCAGTGCTCCTTCCTCTTGCCACCGCCCCCTCCCTGTGACAGGTGGCTCCATCTCCAACATGTATGCTGTAAATCTGGCCCGCTATCAGCGCTACCCGGATTGCAAGCAGAGGGGCCTCCGCACACTGCCGCCCCTGGCACTATTCACATCGAAGGAGGTGGGGAAGAGGCACAGGCCCAACCCTGGGCTCCTGATTCTAATCTCCAGCCAGCTAAGTAGAGACCTTCCAGGTCTTCTCCCTGCCCTCCCCACATCCTCCAAGGCCAGCCTGCCCCCAGGCGGATGTGCTTCCTTCCAGTCAAGGAGGCCAGTAACTGCTCCTGTTCACATTGCCTTCTGTTTGGGGGCAGAGGAGGGGCCATGAGTACAGTGGACACAGTCCATACTCTTCCTACTCAAGAGTGTGGTCTGTGGACCAGCAGCATTGGTATGACCTGGGGCTTGTTAGAAATGCAGAATGTGACTGGGCGCGGTGACTCACGCCTATAATCCCAGCACTTGAGAGGCTGAGGTGGGCGGATCGCCTGAGCTCAGGAGTTTGATACCACCCTGGGAAACATGGTGAAACCCCTTCTCTACTAAAATACAAAAAATTAGCTAGGCATAGTGGTGGGCACCTGGATTCCCAGCTGCTTAGGAGGCTGAGGCATGAGAATTTCTTGAGCCTGGGAGGTGGAGGTTGCAGTGAGCTGAGATGGCATGACTGCACTCCAGCCTGGGCAACAGAGGGAAACTCTGTCTAAAAAAAAAAAAAGAAATGCAGAATCTCGGGCCTCACCCCAGACCTCAGACCTAGTGGACCTGAACTTGCATTTTAACCGGACATCCAGGCGATTCGTATGCACGCTAACATTTGAGAAGCCCTTGTCTACAGGATCCCATCTGTTGGAGTTCACACTTGACTTTTACCTTCTCTCCCCTCCCCCATCAAGTTGTGCTAACCTGCCCTCTGCCTTCCCCCGCAGTGTCACTACTCCATCCAGAAGGGAGCTGCGTTTCTGGGACTTGGCACCGACAGTGTCCGAGTAGTCAAGGCTGATGAGAGGTGAAGGTCCTTCTGCCCACATGGCTGTGACCCAGCTTGGCACAGAGTACCTTCCTGCTGCCAGAATGCTCTGGCATCAGGCCCTTTACCGCTGGTGGACCTCTCTCCCCTCGCTGTTCAGTAGAATTGCTGTTCCGGTCTACCAGAGCCTGCCAGCGTCCCCCACCTCTGCCCTGAGATCTGTTTCAACCCCTGAGGGAAAAACTAGCACTGTCATCTCTGCATTGCTAACCCCACCTTACCCTGCCTTCAACAGAGAACCTGTCCCTGCTGTACCCTCTGCATTTTCTTTTTCAGAGGGAAAATGGTCCCCGAGGATCTGGAGAGGCAGATTGGTATGGCTGAGGCTGAGGTGAGTAAGTGAGGCTCGCTGGGGTGATGGAGCCTCCAACCTTCTTGGAGGGTTATAGGGGCTCTCCCTGCTCAAGGCACCCTTCATCCCTCTCATCTCCATGCCCATCTCCCCTGTGGGCTGAAGTGACTGTGGGGAACCTGGGGGTGACGACACTACATTGCTTTCTGGGGCTCTGCCCAGACACCTATGCCGGGTTGGATTCTGAGAGGCAGGACTGAGTGAGAGCGAGTCCCAGGCAGCACCACAGGGAGGGTGCTGGGGGCCTGCACTGTAGTGTGGAAGGTTCCTGTGGGCTGCAAGGGTCTGTGCAGGGAGAGGCTGAGGAGGGGAGAGGCACTGGTGAAGGCTGTGAATAGTGGGGATGAGGGGACATTAGCAGACTCCTCCACTTTGAGGGGTATGTAACTGCTACAGCCACCTTGGAGGGCATTTTGGCACCATCTGTACAATTTTATTTATTTTTATTTTTTAATAGTTTTTGAGACAGAGTCTCACTCAGTCACCCAGGCTGGAGTGCAGTGGTGTGATTTCAAAAATAATAAATAAATAAATATAAATGTAAATTTTTTTTTTTTTTTTTGAGATGGAGTTTCACTCCTGTTGCCCAGGCAGGAGTGCAATGGTGCAATCTCAGCACACCGCAACCTCCACCTCCCAGGTTCAAGCGATTCTCCTGCCTCAGCCTCCCAAGTAGCTGGGATTACAGGCATGTGCCACCAGGCCTGGCTAATTTTGTATTTTTAGTAGAGACGGGTTTCTCCATGTTGGTCAGGCTGGTCTCAAACTCCTGACCTCAGGTGATCCACCTGCCTCAGCTTCCCAAAGTGTTGGGATTACAGGTGTGAGCCACTGTTCCCGGCCATTTTTTTTTTTTTTTTTTTTGAGACAGAGTCTCACTGTGTCACCTTGGCTGGAGTACAATGGCACAATCTCGGCTCACTGCAACTTTTACCTCCTGGGTTCGAGTGATTCTCATGTCTCAGCCTCTCGAGTAGCTGGGATTATAGGCGTGCATCAATATGTCTGGCTAATTTTTGTATTTTTAGTAGAGACGGGGTTCAATGCCATGCTGGTCTTGAACTCCTGACCTCAAACGATCCACCTGCCTCGGCCTCCCAAAGTGCTGGGATTACAGGCGTGAACCACCATGCCTGGCCACAAATGTTTAAAAAAAACATTTAAATGTCCATTAGTAGACAAAATAAATTATGGTATATCTATGTGTCTTAGTTCCATCTCCTGTAAAATGGACAGAATATAGAACTTGCCACATAGGGTTATTGTAAGGATTGAATGAATCAGTATATGTAAAGCACTTAGAATATTGCCTGGCACATAGATGCACTGTATAAATACAAGCTACTGGTATTCTTGTTATTATTATTTATTACTATTATTAGAGTACTGGGTAGCCATTTAAAAGAATAGATGAGACTATATATACTAACATGAAAGTATCTCCACTGTATATAGTAAATATATATTGCAAATTGCAGTATAGAATGGACATTATGAGCCAGGTGCGGTGGCTCACGTCTATAATCCCAGCACTTTGGGAGGCTGAGGCAGGCGGATCACAAGGTCAGGAGATCAAGACCACCCTGGCTAACATGGTGAAACCCCGTCTCTACTAAAAATACAAAAAATTAGCCAGGCGTGGTGGCAGGCGCCTGTAGTCCCAGCTACTCGGGAGGCTGAGGCAGGAGAATGGTGTGAACCTGGGAGGTGGATCTTGCAGTGAGCTGAGATCACGCCACTGCACTCCAGCCTGGGTGACAGAGCGAGACTCCGTCTCAAAAAAAAAAAAAAAAAAAAAAAAAATGGACATTATGAGCCCATTTTTGTTATTTAGAACAGTATATATTTATTGATATGTGGATGTTACCTCTGAGTAGCAGTAAGGGCCGCAATTAGAGTAGTGGTGTTTCTCTTTTTATTATAGAAACTTTTTTGGTAATAGTTTTATTGATATGTAATTCACATAACATATAATTCACCTAACATGTAATTCACCCACTTAAAGGGTACTGTTTAGTGGTTTAGCATATTTGCAGAGTTGTGCAAACATCATCACAATCAGTATTAGAACATTTATCTCCCCCAAAAGAAACCTCATACCCTTTAGCCATCGGTCTCTAATTCTCCCAGAACTCCCGGTTCTAGGCAACCAGTAACCTAGTTAGTGTCTCTATATTTGCCAGTTCTGAATTCTGGAATCATATTATACGTGCCTTTTGTGATGAGCTTTTTTTACATAGCATAATGTCTTCAAGGTTCATCCAAGCTGTAGCGTGTATCGGCACTTCCCTTCTTTTATGGCCAAATCATGTTCCATTAAATGGACATACCACATTTATTTATCCATTCATCAGTTGATGGACATTTGGGTTGTTTCCACTTTGGGACTCTTATGAATAATGCTGTTATGAACATTTGTGTACAGATTTTTGTGTGAAAATATGTTTTCATTTATCTTGGTTATATACCTAGGAGTGAAACTGCTGGGTCATATGGTAACTCTGTATCTAACCTTTTGAGAAACTGCCAGACTGTTTTCCAAAGTGGCTGCACCAGTTTGCAATCCCACCAGCAGTGTATGAGGGTTCCAGTTGCTCTACATACTCACCAGCACTTGTCATATCTTTTTTTATTATACCATTTAGTGGGTGTGAAGTGGGATCTCATTGTGTTTTGATTTGATTTTCCCTGATGACTAATGATATTAAGCATCTTGTCATGTACTTATTGGCCATTTGTATATCTTCTTTGGAAAACTGTCTATTCAGATCCTTCACCCATTTTGTTTTTCATAGAACTTTTATTCCAGTAAGGAAGACTGATATTCATAAATATATGTAAAAAAATATGTATATATGTGCTATGAAGGTGAGATACATTGTGCTCTTTGAGCATAGAATACCGGAGAATTGACCTAATCAGGAGGTGAAGGAGTCAGGGAAGGCTTCCCTCAGAAGGGATGGTTGAGCTGAGACTGGAAGGGAGAAAGGAAATAAACTAGGTGGTACCCCTTTGGGTAGACAAGAAGATTCTGTGTGTGTGCAGAGGCCATGGGATATTTCTGGATTTGAAGATATGGGGCTGGAGCAGCTTCCCCCCTTTGCCTGGACTGTTTCCACCCCACCTATAGCCTTCCTCATCCATAGGTACTTGCTTGGGGCTGGTGCTGCCATCCACCCCCACTCTCCTAGTCATCAAGTGGGCATTTGGAAGTGTGTGGAACTGTTTTATTTTGCTTTGTGTTGTGACACTAGCCAGTGGGCATTACTGTGTTTATTGAGAGGGAAACAGGGATCCTAAACATTTTTGCAATGTACAGGGATAGCTCTATATGAACAAGAACTGACTCACCCAACATGCCGGAAGGGTCTCTGTTGAGAATCTGCTGCCAGTTCTACTTCTTTTTTTGTGTGTGTAACATAAAATTTACCATCTTAACCATTTTTACATGTACAGTTCAGTAGTGTTAAATACATTCACATTGTTGTGCAACCAGTCTCCAGAACTCTTTTCATCTTGTTTTTTGTTTTGTTTTGTTTGAGACAGAGTATCACTGTGTCCCCCAGGCTAGAGGGCAGTGGCACAATCTCAGCTCACTGCAGCCTCTGCCTCCTGGGTTCAAGTGATTCTTGTGCCTCAGCCTCCTGAGTAGCTGGGATTACAGGCCCCCTGCCACCAAACCTGGCTAGTTTTTGTATTTTTAGTAGAGACGGGATTTTGCCGTGTTGGCCAGACTGGTCTCGAACTCCTGGCCTCAAGTGATCTGCCCACCTTGGTCTCTCAAAGTGCTGGCATTGCAGTCATGAACCACCGCACCCAGCAGAACTCTTCATTTTGTAAAACTGAAACTCCATACTCATCAAACAACAACTCATTACCCCCTCTTCCAGCCCCTGGCTGGAAGTCAAAGTCTCCATGACTTTGACTACTCTAAGTACTTATATAAGTGGAATCATACGGTATTTGTCTTTTTCTTTTCTTTTCTTTTTTCTTGAGACAGAGTTTCGCTTTTGTAGCTCAGGCTGGAGTGCAATGGCGCCAGCTTGGCTCACTGCAACCTCCGCCTACTGGGTTCAAGCAATTCTCCTGCCTCAGCCTCCCAAGTAGCTGGGGTTACAGGTGCGCACCACCACATCCAGCTAATTTTTTGTATTTTTAGCAGAGACAGGGTTTCACCATGTTTTGGCCAGGCTGGTCTCGAACTCCCGACCTTGTGATCTGCCTGCCTCGGTCTCCCAAAGTGCTGAGATTACAGGCGTGAGCCACCGTGCCTGGTGGTATTTGTCTTTTTCAATTGGCTTATTTCACTTAGCAGAATGTCCTCAAAGTTCATCCATGTTGTAGCATGTGAGAATTTTCTTCCTTTTTAAGGCTGAATAATATTTCATTGTACATATATGCCATATTTTGCTTATCCATTTATCTGTTTGAGTTGTTGTTTGGAATCTCTTCAAGACCGTGCTTTCAATATTTTGGGTGTGTACTCAGAAGTGGAATTGCTGGAGCATATGGTAATTCTATTGAATTGTTTTGAGGAACTGCCATACTGTTTTCTATAGTGGCTGAACCAGTTTACATTCCCGCAGTGCACAAGGGTTCTAATGTCTTCACATCCTTGTCAACGCTTGTTATTTTCTACATCTTCTTTTTTTTTTTTTTTTTTTTTTGAGATGGAGTCTTGCTCTGTCGCCCAGGCTGGAGTGCAGTGGTGTGATCTTGGCTCACTGCAAGCTCCACCTCCCGGGTTCACACCATTCTCCTGCCTCAGCCTCCCGAGTAGCTGGGACTACAGGCGCCTGCCACCAGGCCTGGCTAATTTTTTTTTGTATTTTTGGTGGAGACGGAGTGTTAGCCAGGATGGTCTTTATCTCCCGACCTTGTGATCCGCCTGCCTTGGCCTCCCAAAGTGCTGGGATTACAGGTGTGAGCCACCGCGCCCGGCCAATGCTTGTTATTTTCTGCTTTGTTTTGTTTTTTTGAGACAGGGTCTTGCTCTGTCACCCAGGCTGGAGTGCAGTGGTGTGATCATGGTTCACTGCAGCCTCAACCTCCTGGGCTCAAGTGATTCTCCCACCTCAGCCTCCCAAGGAGCTGGGACCACAGGTGCACACTGCGACATGTGGCCAATTTTAAAAATTATTTTTGGTAGAGACACATCTCTACCAAAATTCCTTTTCGCTGTGTCACCCAAGCTGGTCTCAAACTCCTAGGCTCAAGCCATCCTCCCATCTCAGCCTCTTACAGTACTAGGATTACAGGCGTGAGCCACTGCATCCTGCCATTTTCTGTTACTTTGATAGTAGTTATCCTAAATGGGTATGAAATGGTAACTCATTGTAGTTTTGATTTGCATTTCCCTAATGATTAGTGATGTTGAGCATCTTTTCATGTGCTTATTAGCCATTTATATATCTTTATTGAAAAAATGTCTAGTTAGATCCTTTGCCCATTAAAAAAATTACGTTGTCTTTTTGTTACTGAGTTCTTCATATATTCTAGATGTAAGTCCCTTATCAGATATATGATATTCAGATATGTTCTTCCCACTCTCTAGGTTGATTTTTCACTTTTCTGAAACTTTTATTTTAGATTCAGTAAGGACATGTGCAGGTTTGTTCTAAGGGTATATTGTGTGATTCTGAGGTTTGAGGCACGATTGAACCCATCACCCAGGTAGTGAGCATAGTACCCAATAGGTATGTTTTCAACTTTTTCTCCCCTCTCTCCCGCTTCTTATAGTCCCCAGTGTCTTTTATTCCCATCTTTCTGTCCATGTGGACTCAGTATTTAGCTCTCACTTACGAGAACATGTGGTATTTGGTTTTCTGTTTCTGTGTTAACTCATTTAGGATACTGGCCTCCAGCTGCACCCACGTTGCTGCAACGGACATGATTTCATTCTTTTTTTATGGCTGCATAATACTTCATGGTTTGTATATGCCACATTTAAAAAAATCTAATCCACTGTTGGTGGGCACCTAGGTTGATTCCATGTCTTTGCTGTTGGACTTTTCACTTTTTTGATAGTGTCCTTTGAAGTACAAAAGTTTTAAATTTTGAAGTCCAATTTATCTACTTTTTCTTTGGTTGCTTCTGCTTTTGGTGTTATATCTAACCTAACCCAAGCTCACAAAGATTTACTCCTATATTTTCTTCTAAGAGTTTTATAGTTTGAGCCCTGAGATTTAGGCCTATGATCCAATATGAGTTAATTTGAGGGTGTGATATGAGAAAGGCATTCAAACTGCATTGTTTGCATGTGGATAGCCAGTTGTTCCAGCACCATTTGTTGAAAAGACAATTCTTTCTTCAATAAATTGTCTTGGCATCCTTGTTGTAAATCAGTTGACTGTAAATGTGAGGATTTATTTCTGGGTTCTCAGTTCTGTTCCACTGATCTACATGTCTATCCTGTAGACTACATTGTCTTGATTCAACTGTAGCTTTGTAGTATGTTTTGAAATCAGGAAGTGTGAGTCCTCCAACTTTGCTTTTTTTTCAAGATTGTTTTTGGCTAGTCTGGGTTTCATGAATTTCCATATGAATTTAAGATCAGCTTGTCCATTTCTGCAAAGAGGGCAACTGGGATTTTGATAGGAGTTGTGTTCATTCATCAACATGAAACATCTTTTCATTTATTTAGGTCTTTAATTTCTTTCCACAGTGTTTTGTAGTTTTCAGAGTATATGCTTTATACTTCTATTGTTAAATCGATTCTTAAGTATTTTATTCTTTTTGGTGTTTTTGTAAATGAAATTGTTTTCTTAATTTCATTTTTAGATTGTTCATTGCTAATGTGTATAGAGATACAATTGATTTTTGTATATTCTGTCTTTTGGAAGAGTTTGTGATCTGTTACCAATTTTTGTTAAATGTTCGATGGAATTTATCAGCAAAGCCATCTGGACCTGGGCGTTTCTTTTCTTTTTAACTTAAAAAAAATTGAGACAGGGTCTTGCTCTGTTGCTGAGACTGGAGTGCAGTGGCACGATCAGGGCTCACTGCAGCCTTGACCACCTGGGCTTAAGTGATCCTCCCACCTCAGCCTCCCAGGTAGCTGGGACTATAGGAGTGCACCACTATACACCTATTTTTTTTCTTTTTTTTTTTTTGAGATGGAGTTTCGCTCTTGTTGCCCAGGCTGGAGTGCCGCAATCTCAGCTCACAGCAACCGCCACCTCCTGGGTTCAAGTGATTCTCCTGCCTCAGCCTCCCAAGTAGCTGGGATTACAGGCATGTGCCACCACGCCCAGCTAATTTTGTATTTTTAGTAGAGATGGGGTTTCTCCATGTTGGTCAGGCTGGTCTCGAACTCCCGACCTCAGGTGATCCGCCCGCCTTGGCCTCCCAAAGTGCTGGGATTACAGGCGTGAGCCACCACACCCAGACTTTTTTTTTTTTTTTTCTTTTGTAGAGGTGAGGTCTCACTAGGTTGCCCAGGCTGGTCTTGAACTGCTGGGCTCAAGCAATGCTCCTGCCTTGGCCTCCCAAAGTGCTGGGATTATAGGCATGAGCTACCACATCAAGCTGTGGTAGTCTTAAAAATTACTAATTCAATTTCTGCATAAACTTTTGTACTATTCAAATTTATTTATTTATTTATTTGTTTGTTTAGAGACAGAGTCTCACTTTGTTACCCAGGCTGGAGTGCAATGGCACAATCTCGGCTCACTGCAACCTCTGCTGCCCGGGTTCAAGTGATTCTCCTGCCTCAGCCTCCTGAGTAGCTGGGATTACAGGCACCTGCCACTGCGCCTGGCTAATTTTTGTAGTTTTAGTAGAGATGTTGGCCAGGCTGGTCTTAAACTCCTGACCTCAAGATTCACCTGCCTCAGCCTCCCAAAGTGCTGGGATTACAGGTGTGAACCACCGCGCCCAGCCTATTTATTTATTTTAAGACAGAATCGTGATCTTTTGCCCAAGCTGGAGTACAATGGCGCGATCTTGGCTCAGTGCAACCTCTGCCTCCCGGGTTCAAGCGATTCTCATGCCTCTGCCTCGGCTTCCACCTCCCAAAGTGCTGGGATTACAGGCCTGAGCTACTGTGCCTGGCCTGTTTGTTTATATTTTTTGAGACAGAGTTTCATTCTGTTGCCCAGGCTGGAGTGCAGTGGCACAATCATAGCTCACTGTAACCTCAAACTTCTGGGCTGAAGCAATCCTGCCATCTCAGCCTCCTGAGTAGCTGGGACTACAGGTATGCGCCACTACACTTGACTAATTAAAAAAAAAATTTTTTTTTAGAGGTGGGGTCTTGCTGTGTTGCCCAGGCTGGTCTTGAACTTCTGGCCTCAGGCAATCCTGCCTTGGCCTCCCAAAGTGTCGAGATTATAGGTGTGAGCCACTATGCCTTTTTCAGTAGCATTGGATCTGCCAGTAAAACATTCAAGTTTTTTGAGAGTATGAGCTTTGGAAATAAAAACCTAGGTTCAAAGTCCATCTCTGGAGCTTCTGCTTGGATTTTTGAATCTCAGTGTCTCTGACTGCACATTAAAAAGGACAGTAACACATTGTTGTGAGGTTGAAATGGGCCATTTTAGGCATGCAAAGAGCTTAGAGCTGGGCCCAGTACCAGGCTCTGAGTTGCTTTTGAGATGACTTTACATCTTTCTCCCTCTACATTTTGGCAACAGGGTGCTGTGCCGTTCCTGGTCAGTGCCACCTCTGGCACCACTGTGCTAGGGGCCTTTGACCCCCTGGAGGCAATTGCTGATGTGTGCCAGCGTCATGGGCTCTGGCTGCATGTGGATGTGAGTGGGACTTGGGCTTGGGGGTGCGGTGGGGTGGGCTGAGCCAAGGCCAAGGCCCACGTTGTTCCTCCTGCTCCACAGGCTGCCTGGGGTGGGAGCGTCCTGCTGTCACAGACACACAGGCATCTCCTGGATGGGATCCAGAGGTGCATACAGTCCCCTTCTTCCCAAATCCCACCCTTCAAACCATTGGTCCAGAGAATCATCATGGACTAGGGAGTTTAACATGGCTGGGGAAGGAGGCTGAGGGGAGGGGGACTGGAGAGGATTGATTGGAGCTGGGAGGTCAGACATGGCAATTCTTCCTGATGCCGGGGTGAGGGTGAGACCAAAGCACCTTTACTGGGGTCCTGGAAAAGGAGGAGGGGCTCTGGTTGGGCAGGTGGAGGAGGAGCCACTGACCTGCCTTTGCTCCACCCCATCCAGGGCTGACTCTGTGGCCTGGAATCCCCACAAGCTCCTCGCGGCAGGCCTGCAATGCTCTGCACTTCTTCTCCAGGATACCTCGGTGGGTCTGCCCCTGCCCCTGCACCAGCCCCACCTGTCTCTGGAGCTCTGCCTTCTCTATCCTACCTTAGATAAAGTTCAGGCCTTTCTCTAGTCTCCTTACCATCCCTTCTGAAGCTGCATCTCTGCTACCACCCTATCCTGTATTAGGCTCCTTCACTCCCCCAGAGTCCTGTTTTCAAAGGGAAAAGTTGCCAGTTTGAAGTTGGAGTCAGAGGTATCCTGGTTTCTAGCTTGAAGTTGCCATCAGAGTTTAGGAAGAACCCTGGGTACTGAGAGGAAACCCAAAGAAGGTTGGAGCCAGCAGGCAGCCATCCCAGCAGTGCCGCCTGGTTCCAGGGAAAGAAAAGGGTATCCTGAGCTAAGACCCCCACAGTGCAGCCCTGGAGGAAAGCCTCGGTGGAGAGGGTAGGGTCTGACAATCTCCTCACCCCCACACAGAACCTACTCAAGCGCTGCCATGGGTCCCAGGCCAGCTACCTTTTCCAGCAGGACAAGTTCTACGATGTGGCTCTGGACACGGGAGACAAGGTAGTGCAGTGTGGCCGCCGTGTGGACTGTCTGAAGCTGTGGCTCATGTGGAAGGCACAGGGCGATCAAGGGCTGGAACGGCGCATCGACCAGGCCTTTGCCCTTGCCCGGTAGGCGGGTGGAGTGGGGGTGTGTGGGGGGTCGTCCCTGTTCCCCTCTCCTGGGTCACTGCCCCTCCCCCTTTCCTGCTCCCCGGGATTATTTTTCTCTCGGTCTCTCTGTGGCTCATTCTAAGTAGGCCTCTTTTGTCTCTGGATCTCTGCTTTTCCTCCCCGCCTATGGTTTCTCACTGTTCACAGGTACCTGGTAGAGGAAATAAAGAAGCGGGAAGGGTTGGAGCTAGTCATGGAGGTAGGACCTCCTTCTCTTTTGTGGCACCTGCCCCCGCTCAGCTCTTTTGCAGCTCCCTAACCCCAACTAAAGCCCTAGTGGAGGAAAAAGGGCAGGGAGAGGGAAAACGGTCCCCCTTCCTCAGCATACACCTTCCTCTTTCTCATTCCTCTCAGCCTGAGTTCGTCAATGTGTGTTTCTGGTTCGTACCCCCCAGCCTGCGAGGGAAGCAGGACAGTCCAGATTACCACGAGAGGCTGTCCAAGGTAGGCGTGCTCTGCCGCTCTGCTTTCCCCTTAGGGACCTGATGCGCTTCTGCCCCCTGCTGGCTGGGAGTGGCATAGCAGGTCCCCTTGCTGGTCTCTTGCTCTGAGGCAGGGACGCTGTCTTTTGGGTAGGGGTAGGGTTGGGGATGGGGAGGAAGGTATGTTTCTGGTAAGTAAGAAGAAGCGAGGGGTGTTACAGGAGAAGTCAGAGAAGTTACCAGTGTGCAGTACACAGAGCCCTGTGCTGGCAATTGGGCTGGGAACTCAGGCCCAGGACAGATATGAGGCAGAAAGATCATGGAAGAGTTTTATCACCCGTGCTGGGGAGAGAGCAACCCGGGAAGGCCAGTCTAGAAGTGCCACCTGGAGGCAAGGAGCTGCGTTATATCCTGGTCCCTAAAGATAGAGTAGTACTAGGTGCTGCAGATGATCCGAAAGGACAAATGTTCTTGCCCTGATGGAGTTGTTATTATAAAACAAGAGTTACTATTTGGAAGCAATGTGTTCAAGGCAATTTTGTAAATTACTTGCTAGATCACAGGGCACAGATTAATATTATCAAAAATATTACAGGAATTAAGAGAGGGGAGAAGAAGGTGTTGACTAAGCCTTAGATGACCAAGGCTTGAAGTTAGACTAAAGCAGTGTTAGGAATCAAGAGAAAGTCAAGATTTGGCAGAAAATGGCCCACATGACAGATTTCTTGGAGATGGGAGAAATGGGGAGAAAAGCAGAAGATAGAGAAGGCCAAGCAGGTTAGATATGACAGAAAAGGTAAACTGAGGCCAAGGTCAAGGTCTGACCAATGTATGCTACCCCTAGAAGGTGGCTGGGTGGGAGGGGAAAGCACCTCTGAAAGCCTGGCAGAACAAGAAGCCAGCCTACCTGTCAGCCGACCCCAGGCTGCAACTGGAATCTCTCTCCACCCTCCCACAGGTGGCCCCCATGCTCAAGGAGCGCATGGTGAAGGAGGGCTCCATGATGATTGGCTACCAGCCCCACGGAACCCGGGGTAACTTCTTCCGTGTGGTTGTGGCCAACCCTGCGCTGACCTGTGCTGATATGGACTTCCTCCTCAACGAGCTGGAGCGACTAGGCCAGGACCTGTGAGCCTTCTCCTTGCTGCCAGCCTTGATACCACCCCTCACCCGCAGAGTCGCTGCATTTCCTCCCTGTGCTCTCAAGAACAGCCTTTGAGGCCGGGCACGGTGGCTCATGCCTGTAATCCCAGCATTTTGGGAGGCCGAGGCAGGTGGATCACTTGAGGTCAGGAGTTCGAGACCAGCCTGGCCAATAAGGTGAAACCCTGTCTCTACTAAATATACAAAAATTAGCCGAGCATGGTGGCATGCGCCTGTCATCCCAGCTACTCGGGAGGCTGAGGCAGAATTGCTTGAACCCAGGAGGCAGAGGTTGCAGTGAGCCGAGATTGCACCCCTGCACTCCAGGCTGGGCAACAGAATGAGACTCCGTCTCAAAAAAAAAAAAAAAGAACAGCCTTTCTAGGCCACAGTGATCTGCACAATGTTTATATGCTTTGACCTACTAACTCCTTCTCCTAACTAAATATTTGATTTTAGGAGAGTGTTTAAATAAATTATAGTATGTCTGTATGATGGAATGTCATTTTGCCATTAAAATTATGTTTACAAAGATAATTTTTATTGACATAAAAATAACTTTATGTTGAAAAAGCTGAATATAAGACTTTATATACAGTAATATTTGAGCTATGTTCAAAAATACATAGGAAAAGACGGATAAAATGAAATATGGCAAAATGTTAATAGTTTTCCCTGGAATAGGGTAATAGGCAATTTTAAAACAGACTCCTTTAAAAAAACAAAAGAAAAAAGCATAGACTCCTTTATATGTTTTGAGCTCCCTCCCTTTTATTATGTAATCAATATGCATTACTTTTGTAATGGGAAAATAATAAAGTTAAAATTTCAAGTGCATTCTTTTGGTATGTTTTTGAAATTTATGAACATTCAACCAGCCAAGCACGGTGGCTCACGTCTGTAATCCCAGCACTTTGGGAGGCCGAGGCATGAAACCCCGTCTCTACTAAAAATACAGAAATTAGCCAGGCATGATGGCGGGTGCCTGTAATCCCAGCTACTTGGAAGGCTGAGGTGGGAGAATTGCTTGAACCCAGGAAATGGAGGTTACAGTGAGCTGAGATACGCCATTGCACCGTAGCCCGGGCGACAGAGCAAGACTGTCTCAAAAAACGAAGCACAACAAAACATTCAATCAAATAATGGAGAACTTTATTTTTTTTTTTTTAAACAAGATATGGCCGGGTATGGTGGCTCAGGCCTATAATCCTAGCACTTTGTGAGGCTGAGGTGGGAGAATCGCTTGAGCCCGGGAGTTCAAGACCAGCAAGACCCATCTCTAAAAAAAAATTTTTTTTTTTTAATTAGCCAGACATGATGGTGTACACCTGTGGTCTCAGCTGTTTCAGAGGAGGTGGTAAAATTGCTTGGGCCCAGGAGGTTGAGGCTGCAGTGAGCTGTGATTGCATCAGCACTCCAGCCTGAGTAACAGCGTGAGAATTTATCTCAAAAAAGTGAAATAAAAAGATGGTAAGAGAGGAACAATTTTTTTTCCCCTGAAAACCTTTAATGGGAGAGAAAAAGCAGAATCACCCTATAATCAATTTTACTTTGGTGACATTGAAACAAAATGGACACGGATTGGATCTTGAGACCAGAGCCTTATGTAATTATCAATCTCGAAAAATCTTAACATGCACACAAAGATTTTTCTTCTGAAATTTAAACAATAGAAAAGTTAATGATAATGACAACTAACCAGCAACCAAACCACTGCATGTCCTGTGGTTTTCTTACTGTCTTACATAAAAACATCCATTTAACGTTTTTTTTTGCGCAGGGGACAGAGTCTCGCTCCGTCACCCAGGCTGGAGTGCAGTGGCGCAATCTCGGCTCACTGCAAGCTCCGCCTCCCAGGTTCACGCCATTCTCCTGCCTCAGCTCCCAAGTAGCTGGGACTACAGGTGCCTGCCGCCACGCCCGGCTAATTTTTTGTATTTTTAGTAGAGATGGGGTTTCACCGTGTTAGCCAGGATGGTCTCGATCTCCTGACCTCGTGATCCACCTGCCTCGGCCTCCCAAAGTGCTGGGATTACAGGCGTGAGCCACCGAGCCCAGCCAACTTTTTTTTTTTTTGAGACGGAGTTTCACTCTTGTTGCCCAAGCTGGAGTACAATGGCATGATCTCTGCTCACTGCAACCTCCGCCTCCCGGGTTCAAGTGATTCTCTGGCCTCAGCCTACCGAGTAGCTGGGATTACAGGTGCATGCTACCATGCTCGGCTAATTTTTGTATTTTTAGTAGAAATGGGGTTTCACCATGTTGGCCAGGCTGGTCTCAAACTCATGACCTCAAGTGATCCATCCGCCTCGGCTTCCCAAAGTGCTGGGATTACAGGCGTGAGCCACCGTGCCCAGCCCATCCATTTAACATTTAAAATCCTAGCTGATACTGTTTCTCAATCACTTTTTGGGAAAGAGACATTTAGCTACACAAGTTATTAAGGACAAGTGGCAAGTCTACCAGAACTTTTTGTTATTTCCAATTCCTAAAAATATCATTTATGGAAACAGTAATGTGGCCATGTAAAAGTCATCCAAAGTTATTTGAAGAGCAAATACAGACTGTACGAACCATAGCAAAAGAACATCCAAATCTCCGACGCAATTCTTTTGACCATTTGGAGAAAAAAAGCCTTTCATAAATTGCTAGTAATTCCCCTATAAAGTTGTTATTCTCATTATGAATGGTATTTTAATTTCCTCTAATAGTAGAATTTTTGACACCTTCAATGTAAACTCCAAACTCTACTCTTAAAGGATTCTGTGTATCTGCAAAATGTCTCAAATATAGAAAAAAAAGCCTTATTTTTGACTCAAAGCAAAGCCAGAAAGCAAAAACAAAAATAAAATCTTCAAATTCCTTGAATCATCTCCATTTGAGAAATATTTTAAAGAGAAGGCCAGAAGAACAGAACATAAAATCAGTTAATCACTTGTTTTTTTTTTTTTCTTTCTTTCTTTCAACTTTATAAAACTGATGTTTCTTTTCTCCTTTCCCAAAATTCAGCCTCAGACTCTCTGGATTCAATAAAGTTACACTCTATATTTTAATTATTTATTTTTAAAGTTTCTGTCTCATCTAACTGGAATGTAAGCTCTGAGAGCAGAGAGCTTACATTTTGCTACCTCCCAAAATACTGCCTGGTGCTTACGAAGTGGTTACTTTGTTGAGTGAATGGTTCATGAGCTTCGGAAACTAGCTGGTTTGCTCTCAGTCATACAACTTTTTAAAAACTAAAATAAAATTGAGACAGGGTCTGGCTATGTTGCCCAGGCTGGTCTCAAACTCCTGGGCTCAAAGCAACCCTCCAGCCTCAACTTTCCAAGGGCCAGGATTCCCGGCAGAGCCGCTGCACCCAACCGTTCACACAACTTGTAAGTGGTGGAGTCAGAAACTAAACTCAGACCATCTTGCTCTGGTTCTTAACTATGGATCTGACCGGCTTCTGTTGACAGGTGTATCTAATTCATAGGTGTGTCCGTTAGGACTGTACACCTTAATAGCCTTAGTAGCCTAACCTTAATAGCATAAATTATTAACCATATGCTGTGGATCTACTGCTTGCAGGAAGGTTGAGGCCATTCCCAGGTTTAGTCACCCACCTTGCCCTTGGTCTGGGGAAATGATATTTCCCTCAAATAGGAAAATAAAGGCATTGGAAACGCCTGAGTGGGTTGCAATGTTAGAATTATTTTTTGTTGTCGTTTGGTTTTGATTTTGGTTTCGGTAAGAGCAAAGGCATCAAAGTATCCTAGTCTCTAGCACCTAGGGACCAGCCTCCCCTTGCCTGGGGAAGGAAGATGGTGCCTTTCACAGGGTGGAAGGCCAGGACCTGGGAAGGTAAGAAGCTGGGTGGGGTACCTATGATGTCATAGCAGCTCTCTGAGGTTGAGAGTAAGAGCCCTTTTAAGAAAGTAGATAAATCCCAGCTACTCAGGAGGCTGAGGTAGGAGAATCGCTTGAAACTGGGAGGTGGAGGTTGTGGTGAACCAAGATCGCACCATTGCAACCCAGTCTGGGTAACAAGTGTGAAACTCTGTCAAAAAAAAAAAAAAAAAAATGGCTCAAGCCTGTAATCCCAGCGCTTTGGGAGGCCGAGACGGGCGGATCACGAGGTCAGGAGATCGAGACCATCCTGGCTAACACGGTGAAACCCCGTCTCTACTAAGAAATACAAAAAACTAGCCGGGCGAGGTGGCGGGCGCCTGTAGTCCCAGCTACTCGGGAGGCTGAGGCAGGAGAATGGCGTGAACCCGGGAGGCGGAGCTTGCAGTGAGCTGAGATCCGGCCACTGCACTCCAGCCTGGGCGACAGAGCGAGACTCCGTCTCAAAAAAAAAAAGAAAAGTAGATAAAAGAGAACAAGCTAAAGTCAGAATTTGACTGGACACTTGGAACTGTCCTTATACACCCTAGTCCTCATTTGGCTCTTTCTCTTCTGTTTATGTGCCTTTTAAAAACCTTTTTTATAGCATCCTTCAATAGCTCAGCTGGTACAGCAGAGGACTATAGTCAACATCTTTTTATTTTGAAATAATTTCAAACTTATAGAAAAGTTGCATTCTTGTAATTATTCTTACAGATACCTCCCATATACTCTTTACCCAGATTTATCCATTTCTCACATTTTGACAAATTTGCTTTGTCATTCTCTCTCTAAATGCATTATACTCATTTTTTTCTGAATCATTTGAGAGTCAGTGCATATATTATGACCCTTTATCTCTTAATACTATAATGCCTATTTCTCAATAGCAAGAATATTCTCTTAAATAATCATGGTACAGGTTTAGCCGGATGTAGTGGCATATTCCTGTAATCCCAGGTACTTGGGAGGCTGAGGCAGGAGAATCCCTTAAACCCCGGAGGTGGAGGTTGCAGTGAGCCGAGATCACGCCACTGCACTCCAGCCTGGGCGACAGAGTGAGACTCTGTCTCAAAAAAAAAAAAAAAAAATCATGGTACAGGCTAGGCAAGGTGGCTCACACTTGCAATCCCAGTGCTTTGAGAGGCTGAGGTGGGAGTATCCCTTGACTCCAGGAGTTCAAAATCAGCCTGGACAACTTCTATAAAAACATAAAAAATAAGTTAGCCCGCATGGTGGCATGCTCCTATAGTCCCAGCTACTCGGGAGGCCGAGGTGGGAGGATTGCTTGAGCCTAGGAGTTTGAAGCTGCAGTGAGCTATGATTGAGCCACTGCACTCCATCCTGGGCAACAGAGCAAGACCCTGTCTCTAAAATTAACAAAATAGGTATTATGGTACAATGATCAAATACAGGAAATTTAACATTGACATTATAAAGTTCATATTCCACCATTGTCAACTGTCCCAATAACACCCTTGGTAGCACTTCCCCCTCCAGCACAAGGCCCAGTTCCCCAGCATGGATTGCATTTTGTTGTCATTGCTGTTTGTCTCCTTTGATCTAAAATACTTCCTCAGCCTTTCTTTGTCATTAATGACACTGACATTAAAAAAAAATCCAGCTATTGTATAGAATGTTCATCAATTTGTGTTTTCCTGATGTTTGCTCATGACCGGGTTTAAGTTATGCATCTGACCTGAAATACGACATAAATTGTGTTGTGTTCGTTTAAGGGAAAGCCCCACCCAAGCCCTACAATGTCTACCTGCTCCTTACTGGTGATGTTAATTTAATCAAGGTCGAACTTGCTAATGATGTTGTCTGGTTTCTCCATGGTATATAGTTACTATTTTGTAACTAGCAAACTTGTAACAATTTGTAAATAATCTGTAGGGAGACGCTTTGAGATCATGCAAATAACCCTGCCCAGTTCAGCTTTCCCCACCTAGATTTAGCATTGAGATAGG